TTTTATTTGCAGAGGAAGCACCGTACTCTAGAGGGAAAACTACACAAGGTGACTAAATTCCTTCACTGCACATCTATCCCTCTATGTCTTCTTGAAAAATATTACCAATTTATTGCATGTTAGCACATGAAGATCTCTCCATACTTAAGAAGCAAATTAAACGTACGTGTATTATGCAAGCATATATAGGTATAAATAGAAAACAGAGAGGAGGTCTTTGGAAAGTTCAGAAACACTGACTGTTTCGTAATTGTTCTTCAAACGCATATTCTCTGCAACTGAACAGTGGCTTTCCAGAGAAAGACAGCAGGCCACGTGAAAATGAGCAGCAGCAACTGATTTACTTAACATAGCTCGTAAGGTGATTCAAAATGCCAAGACGTTAACATTCCCCTTCAAAGCAATAGCCTACATGGAAATGACAAAAAGTCATTTCTAACAACATCTGGTATCAATTCCAGAAAAAACTATTTAAATACGCTAAGGGAACTAAAGAGAAAAAGCATACATGTTGGCAGAGACCCAAACACTTTAGGGGCCTTCACGGTATAGCAAGACAACGCAACCGCACAGAGCGATGCATCCCCCACACAGATGGGATCTCTGTAGCACTACCTACAGAAATCCCAGGGCTCTCCAGCATTTAACACATTTCAGACCCAAGATGGAAATAGATCAAATTTAGCTGCAGTTCACCCCTCCAGGCTGCTCACGATCAGCCCAATCTGTGAAGTCCAGCTAATGACAGCTCTCCGCATGACATCAAGATTTCCTTCAAAGCGCTTCAGAAAAATACAGTTATCGGTACATTGCTCAACAGCTAGTTCTGCCGCTCAGACACTCAGCTAGGTTTTTGCAATAAGCCACGTTCTCTGAAGCATAAGCTGTGCGCTGCGGAGACCACTAGACCCCCGATGACAAGTTCATTGGGACAGGAAAAATAATCACTTTGCAAAATGAACACGCAAATAACCGCGGCAAGAAAACAGAGGTCTGGGCCACGTTTGCAAACTCCAAAAACAGTTTAAACGGATGAGCTAGAAAGACAATGGGCTCGTACCCGTCAAGAGATGCAGTGTTTACCACTAAGGAAAGCCTGCACGGGAGAAGTTGGCATAGGTCACGTTAAGCGTCTTGTTCTCCTCGCCGGGTAGTCAGCCAAGTCACCCACCAACCGGCGGGATACGTGCAGACCCTCATCCGAGGGCAAAACAGCTACTTTCCCCTCACCTTGGGAGGGAGCCTCTCCCCCTCCTCTGGGCTACATACATCCTAGCACTGAAAACAAAGGTAGCGGCGACAGCTTAGGCAGCGGCGGAGATCGGAAAGGCTGACGGGTCTGTGACTTCGCTGGTCTCTAAACAAGGGAAACCACTGCGGGCAGCGCCTGCCAAGAAGCGGAGCGAGGGGAGTTGGCGCTTTACAGGC